GGAATCTTATGGTGCTTTCTTCTCTGTATCCACTAGATGGAGCCAGTCATATATCCACTGGTGTGGGTATTAGTTAATGTCCACTTTATATAGGTATTTTAATTCATTGTGTTCATTTACTAATTGTGCTGATGGGGGTAACATTGTTTTCACTTTAATGTATTATCATTTATTTCAATTCATTTAATCTTATAATGTGCTGGGACCCAATAAGCTTCCATGTGGGCTGTTTTTACATGATCACTTATGTCTATTCCCATGTCTGGAGGATCAGTTTAATACTGCCCTTTAATTTGTTTGTACACATGTGAGCCATCATTGGATGATTATCATCTATGTCCGGAGTATGGGCTTAGCATTGGCTCTCTAACTGCTGCTCATTTTGGCACCACATTATTGGCTGTGTGCAGGGTGGACTGACAACTCATGGGGCCCCCAGGCAATAGGGGATCATGGGGCCCCTGTGTCCTTGCCCACACTCAAAGCACACCCAAAAAAGCCTATAAAAAGGTACCAGGGGCATTTCATGGGGCTCCCCACTGACCCCGGGCCCTTGGGCAGTGCCCGAGTGCTCGAATGGTCAGTCTGCCCCTGGCTGTGTGCCCTATTTAAAGATAGGGAATGTCACAGGGCTCCTAACCATGCATTCACTGAATGTGATGTTTTTACTAAGGCATGTGCCTTTTTTTATTTCTTGCTTTGCAGGGAAAAGGGGGGGGGGGCCGAGCTGTACAGTGACTAATCACTGTGATAGTCAATCAGAGGCTATCACATCGATCATGTGACCCAGAAATCGAGAGTCCATGGGCAGGGGTGGACTGACAACTCATGGGGCCCCCGGGCAATAGGGGATCATATGGCCCCTGTGTCCTTGCCCAAACTCAAAAAAGCCTATGAAAAAGGTACCAGGTGCATCTCATGGGGCCCCCTACTGACCCCGGGCTCTCGGGCAGTGCCAGAGTTTCCAAATGGTTAGTCCGCCCCTGGTCCTGGGTCCCGATCGTTAGAACAGGACCTGGGGCTCTCAGTGACACCACGGTCTTTCTGCTGAGAGTGTGCTGTGCGGCGGCGCACTCCCAGCACAAAGACAGGTACGCAAATATGCGGCCCCAAGAAAAAAGCCCAGTTCTATGAGGCCGCATATTTGTGTGATGTTCGTATCAAGGGGTTAAAGGGCCAGAACTAATGAAGTAGCTACTAAGGATCAGCAGTGGATAAGCAGAATCTGGTTTCACCCCTAAGTGTGCATGACCTATCTGTTAAGAAGGTGAGTGCATGGTGCACATACCCGGTGATGGGAAACACCACAATATAGTCGGCACGGTGGAGTAATGTATATATGTTCACTATAATTCGGAGTCACATATAATTTGTTTAATGTGAGTGGATATTATAACACGTTTCATTTTTGGTTATATAAAAGGGGTGTTGCACTATGGTATGATTTTGTTTTATTTTGCACGGTTCTGGTGTTTAAAGAGGAATAATACGTGGAAGGAACATGTCACGGATCAGAAATTTGGAGACATATTTTCCTTATAAAGCGTGTTTTTGGCCTATTGTAATTTATAGGTCAGTGGTCACGGTGAGCAGGGAGGGGGGCCACAAGTCAAGCACAGTGTTGATTATTGCTGGATTGGCCATTGATTAACAGAGTTTGGGGAAATGATATCCTTCACTGACTATCTTAAGGTATTACATTTTCAAGCCTTTGGGACCCATTAAAGTATTACTAAACCCACAACAGTACAATCAGTCTGTATATGCAGTAAAGCATGCTTGTTATACCCACTGTGGAACCTAGGGGTTAATCCTGCCCATTGTGTAAAAAGGCTATTTGATCCCATCTTCTCTGATCCTCCCCTTCTTCCAGTGCCCCCCTCTTATTTCTTGATAAGACATATCATGTGGAGTCACTCTGCACATGCTCAGTTTGGTGTGTATTGCTCAAAATGTTTTTTTTTTTTTTTCTTGGGAGAGTGCATGTGATCAGCACAGGGCCAATCAGCACTGTCCAGACAGAGGTCAGGGGTTTTGCATCCTCCTATAGCAGAAAGAAAGCTCCTCCTACAAGCTTTAACATGTGCTCTGCTGTGCACTGATAGAAGTCACAAGACTGTGTTTAATCACTGATGAGAAAAGGTATTTAGCAGTTTATATTTACTAAAATAATTGCACTTCCATGTTGTGTCTATTGTGGGAGACCAGATATAGTGAATGCAGAGTCTGGGGTTTAGTATTACTTTAAGTCCCTTCCCCAGGCGCCATTCAATTCTGTAAACGGTTAGGAAAACCACATATTTTTATACAGAGTTAGAAATGAGATCAAGGAAATACAACAATTAATAAAATACAACACATTTTTCATGGCTATTGTAAAAGGTTAGGCTATTTAGACAGTAATCAGGTCTTATTAGTGTTGATGGAATAATTGACTAGGGCAGGGGTCTCCAAACTTTCTGAACAAAGGGCCAGTTTACTGTCCATTAGACTTTGAGGGGGCGGACATGAGTAGAAGATGCCCTGGCCTCAATGAGAGTAAACAATGCCCCATCATTGATCTTAGTGAGAGAACTATTGCCCCATTGTTGGTATTAGGGGAAGAAATAGTGTCCCATCATTGGTGTCAGTGGGAGGAGTAGTGCCTCATTGGTATAGGAGGAAGGAATAGTCAACCATTATTGGTGTCAGTGGGAGTATAGTGCCCTGCTGTTGGTGTCTGTGGGAGGAATAATGCCCCATCATTGTTGTCAGTAGGGGGAATAGTGCCCCATTGTTGGAGTCAGTATAGTGCCCCATTGTTGGGGTCAGTGGGAGGAATAGTGCCACATTGTTGGTGTCAGTGGGGGGAATAATGCCCCATTGTTGGAGTCAGTGGGAGGAATAGTGCCCCATTGTGGGGTTAGTGGTAGGAATAGTGCCCCATTGTTGGGGTCAGTGGGAGGAATAGTGCCCCATTGTTGTCCCCAGTGCCCCATTGTTGGGGTCAGTGGGGAATAGTGCCCCATTGTTGGGGTCAGTGGGGGGAATAGTGCCCCATTGTTGGTCAGTGGGGGAATAGTGCCCCATTGTTGGTGTCAGTTGTGCCCCATTGTTGGTGTCAGTGGGGGGAATAGTGCCCCATTGTTGGGGTCAGTGGGAGGAATAGTGTCCCATTGTTGGTGTGTGGGGGGAATAGTGCCCCATTATTGGGGTCAGTGGGAGGAATAGTGCCCCATTGTTGGGGTCAGTGGGGGGAATAGTGCCCCATTGTTGGGGTCAGTGGTAGGAATGGTACCCCCATTGTTGGGGTCAGTGGGGGGAATAGTGCCCCATTGTTGGGGTCAGTGGTAGGAATGGTACCCCATTGTTGGTATTGGTGACAGGAATTATGCCCCATTGGTGTCAGCAGAAAGAATAGTGCCTTACATTATTGGAAGGAATACTTCTCCAAGGGCCTGATAAAGGCAAGCAAAGGGCCACATCCAGCCCCTGGGGCTTAGTTTGGAGACCACTGGACTAGGGAATAAAAAGTCCAACCACCCTTCCTACACCTGTGTAAGTGGGTGACAGTGAAATGCCCCACATACTTGATCATAGGCTGGAGGGTAAACAGGCGTTATTGTCAGAGGCCAGAAGTTCAATTAAAGTCAAGTGGCACAAACAATTTCTGTCATTTATTTGGACCACAGTCTAACATTTTCACCTTTTATATAGACATGTGGAGAACGAAAAAAGTGTGTTTAGTTCTGGATCAGTTTGTTAAGTTACTAATTTAGTTTCTGTTGCATTTGTAATGAAATTCGTTCTGTATAGTTCACTCATTTTCAACTGGATTTTAATTTTTTTAATGGATTTGAAGTATTCAAATCAAATTCGAAACAAAAATATTGAATCAATTTCAATTCATTGTGAAGAATAGCTGGTGTTATTTTATTTGAAATTCGTATTTCGGTAGACGGTTATATGCTTTCAATTTGTATTCTTTTCTGTTCCATTCTATTCCTTTATTTTTTTATTATTTTGTATTTATTTCTTTATTTTCTTGTCTATTTTATTATATCCTTTTATTTTATTTTCTATTTTACTCTACTGTTTTCTATTCTCTTTTATTCTATTCTTTTCAAAATTTGAATTGCGGAAGACAGCTATATTCTATTCCTTTATTTTCTTTCTATTTTTTTCTACTTTTATCTCTATTCTATTGCATTATACTCTACTATTTTCTATTCTATTATATTGTTTTATTCTATTTGAAATTTGAATGTTGGAAGACAGCTATATTCTTTTTATTCTATTCTTTCTATACTATTTTATTCTTTTATTTTCTATTCTATTCTTTTTCGAAATTCAAATTTGGAAGACAGCTATTTTGTAACACTAATACGCATAGTCTTTGAAGGAATCATCAATAGTCAGCAATATGTTTATATTTCTCATTTATTTTCAAATTCAATTTAGTTTTTGAATTTGATTCACATTTCGGACGAAGTTTCATTATTTCAGATTCGTTTAAATCCGTTACTTTTGTAAGTCGGAAATACGGATACATCCAAATCTCCAAATAATGAGAATTTCATCTGAATTTCCGTCTGGAATTAAACGAAACGCACATGTCTAATAAAAAATAGTATACATCTCAATTCCTGCTTCTCTTTCTATGATTTGAGGTTCCCCATCAGTAGTTTAATCTGTAGATTACTTCTGTTATGACAATATACTGTTATATTTATATATATATATATATATATATATATATATATACTGTGGGAACTCGCTTCAAATGGTAGAGCTTTGTTAAACGCACACAGCAACTCGCTTTCTTTTTTTAAGGCCTTTCTAGCCCACTTTTATTTAAAGAAAATGTTCCATAAAGCCTCCCACACAGGGGGATCCACCATCAAACACACGCAAATGAAAATTCAGCCTCCTGGCTTGTACTCAGTTTTATGTCTGTCTCCTACAGACTCTTTCCAAAATCTGGCTCTCGCGCACAGCTGGTCACTAGCACACAGCTAGTCTGGCTTCCACCTCTCCTTGGTGAAGCCCTCCTGACTCCAAGGCAGAGACCTCCTGTCTGCCAGGGTGGAGCCCTCCTGACTCCAAGGCAGAGACCTCCTATCTGCCGGGGTGGAGCCCTCCTGACTCCTGTCTGCTGGGGGGGAAGCCCAGAACCCTGATCCTGACTCTTGAAGATTGTCCTGCACACCTGAGCAATCAGTCTGCTGGCCATTCCCAAAACCTGGTCCCAGGATTGGAGATTTCATCCCTCCCAAATCACTTTGAAATCTCCAGGCTCCAGGTCCCAAAATGGACCTTACAAACAAATGAGGAAAGTGAAAAGCCACTTTCCTCTGTATCAAACACGTACCCCGGAGCCCCTCAACCTACCTTGTTGAGAATCCTGGGTGAAATAACCTTTCCACATCATGACAGATCGCCACACTGTCACAATACACATATACACAGTAATGGCCAAAAATATTGGCACCCCTGCATTTCTGTCAGATAACCACTTCGCCCAGAAAACTGTTGCACTTACAAATGTTTAGACATTCTCATATTTATTTCTTTTGTTTGTATTGGTATGACACAAAAAAGTGGAGAACCAAAATCGTATGTAACAAATTTATATGCAGTTTCAATAAATTAACAGCTTTTTATAAATACAACCCATACTATGGCAGTGGTATCCAAACTGTGGCCCAGAGGGCCAGATGTGGCCCTTTGCCTGCCTTTATCTGGCCCTTGGGGCACCATTCCTCCAACTGACACCAATGATGGGGCACTATTCTTCTCATTGACATCAACAAAGGGGCACTATTCCTCCCATTGAAAACTGATGATGGGGCACTGATGCTACGGTGTTTTCTACTCCCACTGGAAAAAGTCCGGCCACCCCTACAGCTTATAAAGGGCAGTAAACTGGCCCTTTGCTTAGAAAGTTTGAAGACCCCTGTACTATGGCATACAATCTAGGAGCAGGGGCGGACTGACCATTTGGAAACTCGGGCACTGCCCGAGGGCCCGGGTCAGTAGGGGGCCCCATGAGATGCCCCTGGTACCTTTTTCATAGGCTTTTTTGAGTTTTGGGCGAGAATACAGGGACCCCCATGATCCACTATTGCCGGTGGCCCCATGAGTTGTCAGTCCACCCCTGCTAGAGAGCATAAAAAAACAAAAGCTAAATTGCTACTTTTGGTTTCAGCCTATGTGAATAAAATGAAGCACTATAATGCTGGTGTTCAAATCACTGTGTGGAACTCCTGAGTGTTTTTTGACTGTATGACGATCTTTATTTCACCAATTAAGGAGAGAGAGAGAGAAGCATCTGATGCAATTGTTAAGCCCTCATGCACACTGGAAGTTTTGATAACGCTGGTAACATTAGCTGTGGAAAGTCACGTTTTTGCATTAGCGTTTAGTGGCGCTTTACCGCTGAGTTTTCCCACATTTTTCCATGTTTGCGTTTTTTTAGCGTTTTTTTTAGCAAAAATTTTTTTGGGGTCAAAAAAGGTCCAAAAACGCCGGTTTGCAGCATTTTACCACGTTTTTCTGCGTTAGTGTTTTTACAGCTAAAAAACTAGAAAACTCACTAGTCCTGGTATTTTTTTCCAGCCAAAAAATTTCCCAGTTGAAAAATATTGACTACAGTCTATGTGTGCATGGACACATAGGATAACATGCTGGGGAGTTTACTGGCTGTAGAAAAAAACATCCAAAGCCAAAAACAACAGCTGTAAAAACATCAAGTGTGCAGGAGGACACAGCCCTGGTTCACATATGTGTGTTCCTGCGGGCCGCGTTTTGCGTGGGCAGGAGAGCCCATTCATTTGAATGGACTCCCATGCTCCATGACACGCAGGGAAGAAGTCCCTGCACTTTTTTGGAAACCGCAGCTGCACGGGAACCTTGGGAACCTCTCATTCTTCTGTGTGGGTGGTGTGGCTGCACAGATTTTTGTGCGGATCTTCAGTGGCACCACCCGCACACATGTGAACCTAGCCTTACACTTACTCTTTCCTGAAAACACATCTTTCCCTGTATATGAAAATAAATCGTCCAGCTGGATGCACAGGTTTGTCACATGGACTACAAGATTGTTCATGGTTTGGTTGTCTTCCTGCATGAGTTTCTGTATAGCCTGGGCCAAAGGATTGTCCATCGCAACCCAAACGTTCCTTGTGACATCGAAGTGTAATTCATACTTTCCATCCAAAGTCATTTTGTAGGTGAAATCTTCAATTTCTCCTAAGGATGATGGACATCCTGTCCAGATTTGACATGTGGTCATACCTAGGATAGATTGACTGCTAAACTAAGGGTGTAGATTCCTGGGTTGAGCATAGAAAAAACAAATTGTCCTTCAATCACCAATATTAAGGCCAAGTGTGATGTGAGATGATCCTGCCATGAAGATCCTTGTTCAGGCACTTTCTGTTAAGTGTGGTGGCAGCTGCCTCCTCCTTGGGCTTCTGTCACACTGGAGTTGATTTACTAGAACTGGAGAGTGCAAAATCTGGTTCAGCTGTGCATGGGAGCCAATCAACTTCTAACTTCAGCTTGTCCAATTAAGCTTTGACAATAAAGCCTGGTTTCTATGTAGGGCTGCACCAGATTTTTTGCACTCTCCACGTTTAGTAGATCAACCCCCACTGCAACCCTTGTCAGCCCGGGTTCACACTGATGTGGTGCGGAATTTGCAGCGTTTTCAGCGTGAATTCCGCACTGCATCAGAATCGCACCCCGTTCATGCGAACCACTGCGGGTGTGTATGTCAAGTTAACAATACCCCGAAAGCGGTCTGCAAAATGCGGTGTGATGTGCAGAATCAGATCGCATAGGTGTGAGTACCCAAAAAGTGTCCTGCGTGTTTTTGGTGCGAGTGCAGTGAAAATAGAGTCATACAAAATGTATGGCTCCAATCACACCGCACACAAATCGCATGTAATTTGCATAAGAATGCAGTGCGGTACCTGTGCGAATCACCTGCGATGTACCGCAAGTGTGAACCCAGGATAAATGACTACAAGTGACCACGCTGAAGCTGGGTATACACACCAGTGAGTTGAATGAAAAAAAAACTGACAGATCCTAGCATCAACACAACAATTTGTGATGCAGGGATCTCTCCCACTATTGTATTCTGACAACCCCCCCGCCAGGATCCATTGGTCAGCATTTGCAGCTGTTTTTTAAAGTTTGTCACTGAATTTGATTATTTGCATATTATTTATTTATTTTTGTAGAGATTAACAATCATAAAGATTTCTATGACTTAAGCAGCCCAAAGATTATGCAATTTTCTTGCCTTCCACCATGGGTGGAGAGAGAGAAAATTACTCAATTTCCCCATCAACACAGTCAGTGCCTCCTGCATTGCTATTGTATTCTGATGGCAAAACACAATAATTGCTGCTGGCAGCTATTCTGTCGGCAGTAAATCACAAGCAACAAATCCAACAGGCCAGTTGTATTGAAGTGGGTCAATGGATCAACTTCAGTACAACCAGCCTGCTCATAGATGGATCGAAGCTCAGCTGGTCCCTGCTGAACTGGTCAATATTTGATCCATTTATGGTTGGTCCTACTGGTGTAAGGCGTTAGTGGGCAGTCCTGAATGAGGGCTATCAATTTCAGGCTTGTGCATATACTTCCTAATAAATGTGGACACCAGTGATCCCTCCTGTATGTGCTAGCTTTCTTTTCAGTATTTAGCCTGCGAGTAGAGATGGCAGGGTTTGTTACATAGTTAGTCTGGCTGAAAAAAGACAAAAGTCCATCCAGTTCAACCATAGAAAAAAAAAAGTTATAATCCTATACCCACAGTTGATCCAGAGGAAGGCAAAAAAAAAAACCCAGCTGGGAAAAAAAATTCCTTCCTGATCCCCCGAGAGGTAATATTCCCTGGATCAACTTTACCTATAAATGTTAGTATCCAGTTATATTCTGTGTATCTAAGAAAGAATCCAGGCCTTTTTTGAAGCAATCCACTGAGCTGGCCAGAACCAACTATTGAGGGAGTCTATTCAACATTTTCACAGCTCTCACTGTGAAGAAACCTTTCCGTGTTTGGAGATTATATTTCTTTTCCTCCAGATGTAAAGAGCGCCCCCTTGTCCTCTGTGATGACCTCAGGGTGAATAACTCTACACTGAGTTCACTATATGAACCACTGATGTATTTATACATGGAGATCATATCCCCCTTATGTATTATACATGGAGATCATATCCCCCCTTATGTATTATACATGGAGATCATATCCCCCTTATGTATTATACATGGAGATCATATCCCCCTTATGTATTATACACGGAGATCATATCCCCCTTATGTATTATACATGGAGATCATATCCCCCCTTATGTATTATACATGGAGATCATATCCCCCTTATGTATTATACATGGAGATCATATCCCCCTTATGTATTATACATGGAGATCATATCCCCCCTTATGTATTATACATGGAGATCATATCCCCCCCTTATGTATTATACATGGTGATCATATCCCCCCTTATGTATTATACATGGAGATCATATCCCCCCGTATGTATTATACATGGTGATCATATCCCCCTTATGTATTATACATGGTGATCATATCCCCCTTATGTATTATACATGGAGATCATATCCCCCCTTATGTATTATACATGGAGATCATATCCCCCCTTATGTATTATACATGGAGATCATATCCCCCTTATGTATTATACATGGAGATCATATCCCCCTTATGTATTATACATGGAGATCATATCCCCCCTTATGTATTATACATGGAGATCATATCCCCCCTTATGTATTATACATGGTGATCATATCCCCCCTTATGTATTATACATGGAGATCATATCCCCCCGTATGTATTATACATGGTGATCATATCCCCCTTATGTATTATACATGGTGATCATATCCCCCTTATGTATTATACATGGAGATCATATCCCCCCTTATGTATTATACATGATGATCATATCCCCCCTTATGTATTATACATGGAGATCATATCCCCCCTTATGTATTATACATGGTGATCATATCCCTCCTTATGTATTATACATGGTGATCATATCTCCCTTATGTATTATACATGGAGATCATATCCCCCCTTATGTATTATACATGGAGATCATATCCCCCCTTATGTATTATACATGGAGATCATATCCCCCCTTATGTATTTATACATGGTGATCATATCCCCCCTTATGTATTATACATGGAGATCATATCCCCCCTTATGTATTATACACATTGATCATATCCCCCCTTAATCTCCTCTTCTCAAGAGAGAATAAATTCAGTTCCTCTAATCTTTCCTCATAGCTGAGCTCCTCCATGGCTCTTATCAGTTTGGTTGCCCTTCTCTGTACTTTCTCCAGTTCCCCAATGTTCTTTTTGTGAATTGGTGCCCAAAACTGAACTGCATATTCCAGATAAGGTCTTACTAA